GCTAGGATTACCTTAACCCACCACATTAGGGCTGCCCAAAACAATCGTGATAATGAGAATGTTCTAGATCTGCATTGTTCTGCATGATAGTTACTGCCACAAGTGGCCACTGAGCACTTGCAAGAGTGGCTAATGCCACTGAGGAACTGAATTTTTTATTTTATTTAATGTAATAAAACGTAAATAGCCCCATGCCGCTAGTGGTCACCACACAGAAAAGCACAACATGATCATGTGTTATAACCCTTTTGACATGGCAATTTTCAGGAAACTTTCAGGAAGCTCTGGAAATTGGCTGTGTACTTTTTAAATTACAGGAAGGTTCATTAATGTATACAGTATTTTACCACCTTTGTAGACCAGAAAGTATATAAAATAAACTTGTGCGTGTGTGTAAATACACACATCGGGTGTCATAATGACACATCATAACTGTAATAGCTGCCTCTGGGAAAAGATGGAAGCTGAGATAAGGATTGAGAGAATGTTCTCTATGAATCTGTTTGACCGTTCTTTTTTTTTTTTTTTTGAGTTGGAGTCTCACTCTGTCACCCAGACTGAAGTCCAGTGGCCGTACCCGGCCACTGCAGCCTCAACCTGCTGGGCTCCAGTGATCCTTCCACCGCAGCCTTCCAAGTAGCTGGAACTACAGACGTGTGCTACCCCGCCCAGCTGATTTTTTATTTATTGTAGAGACAAGGTCTTGCCAACTTGCCCGGGTGGGTCTTGAACCCGCGGGCTCAGGCAATCCACTAGCCTCGGCCTCCCAAAGTGCTGGGATTACAGGCTGAGCCACCGAGCCTGGCCTATTTGACCATTCTTAATGTTGAATCATGTGGATGTCTGAATAAATACAATTTTAAAATACAGTCGGCTTTCCATATCTGTGGAATCAGCCAAACTCGGGTCAAAAATACTCAATAAAAAATGATGTCAGGACCGGGCTTGGTGACTCAGCCTGTAATCACACTATTTTGGGAGGCCAAGGCGAGTGAATTGCCTGAGCTCACAGGTTCGAGACCAGCCTGGGCAACTTGGCAAGACCTCATCTCTACAATAAATAAAAAATTAGCTGGGCATGGTAGCGCACACATGTAGTTCCAGCTACTTGGAAGGTGGAGGCGGAAGGATCGCCGGAGTCTAGCAGGTCGACGCTGGGGTGACCGTGAGTGTGCCACTGTGCTCCAGCATGGGCGAGAGTGAAACTCCAACTAAAAAAAAAAAGTGTCAGGCCAAGTGCGATGGCTTAAACCGGTAATCTCGGCACTTTGGGAGTCTGAGATGAGGGGATTGCCTGAGCCCACGGGTTCAAAAGCAGCCTGGGCAACTTGGCAAGACCTCCTCTCTACAATAAATCAAAAATTTAGCCAGGGGTGCACCTGTAGTTCCAGCTACTTGGAGGGCTGAGGCAGAAGGATCGCCTGAGCTTAGCAGGTCGCCGCTGGAATGGCCGTGAGCTTGCCACTGCCCTCCAGCCTGGGTGACAGAGTGAGACACCAACTCAAAAACAAAAAAAAAATGTGTCTGTATCAAACATGTACAGACTTTTTTCCTTGTCATAATTCCCTAACAATACATATAACAATACATACATAGCATTTAGATTGGGTTAGGTATTGTAAGTAATATAGAGATGATTTAAAGCAAGTAATATAGAGATGATTTAAAGCAATATACCATTTTACATAGGAGACTTGAGTGTCCTTGGATTTTGTTATCTGAGGGGAATCCCAGAACCAATTCCCCACAGATACCAAAGGACCACTAAATTTTTAAAACTGTTGATGAAAGCTAACTTCCACGCTTTGCCCTAAGTTTCTTTCCTACATGGTTCAAATCAATGACTGACAGTTGAACTCAATATTCTCTTCTGGGTATGGCTCTAAGGTGGTCTGTAAGTAAGGCTTAAAAACAAATCTCATAAAAAAAAATTAAAAAAAAATTACCCTAAGCGACAATGCCTCAGCTGCCAGAAAACCCTAACGTTCTACTCCCCCCTACACCCAGCCATCTGATATCCACCCCTCAGCCGCCCCAGTCTGAGCCAGATCCAGCTGTCTGACCACTGAATATTAATTTGCCTACTTTATAATAACATAAAAATTTCATTTCTACTGTCCTTACATTAGTTCTCTTGGGCTCTTCTGCTTAGAAGAATGCCTTGAGAGTTCAAATCTTGCCTCTGTCCCTCAGCAACTGAGTGGCCTCAGATACATTACACTACTGTATCTCAGTTTCCTTATCTGGAAAAGCGTGAGTAAAATACTGTAAATCATGCGCTCTTTTTGAGGATTGTGTTAATACATGTAAAACAGTACCTGGCATAAAGAGCTCAAATTATTCTGTTGATAGCTATTATAATATAAACAGGTATATTTTTAACCCCAAAGGTGTTTATTTTAACCCCTTAGAAACACACAATTCTGTCTTTTTCTGTGCAAATTAAAAATGTAGTGCTTTTATTTTCAATAGGCCTTGAATTTGGGGAGGGAACTATACCCTCTCAAGATGCCAAATTACATTGCTGTAGCTTCTCATGAAAAAGAAAATAAAATTAGAATTCCTACAGGATTTTTAATTTATTTTTATTTTTATTTTTTTGAGTTGGTCTCACTCTGTCTCCCAGACTGGAGTGCAGTGGCATGCTCCCAGCCACCGCAACCTCTACCTGCTGAGTTCCGGTGATCCTTCTGCCTCAGCCTTCCAAGTAGCTGGAAATACAGGCACATGCTACCACGCCCAGCTAAATTTTTTTTTTTTTTGATTTATTGTAGAGATGAGGTCTCACCAAGTTTCCCAGGTGGGTCTCGAATCCACGAGCTCAGGCAATTCACTCACCTTGGTCTCCCAAAGCGCGGGATTACAGGCTGAGCCACCAAGCCTGGCCTCCTACAGGATTTGTACAGGGTTCAACTTGGGTCACAATGCAGGCTGGTCTTGGGGTGTCGGTTTTGGTTTTTCAATGTTTTGTATTTTTTCTCTAAATAAGCTCCATAGACACGTTTCAAAATGTTTAAGTAATCTAGTTTGGTCAAAATGAACTGATAATATCTGACACCGAGGGATTTAACTTTTTGGATTTGTGTTTTATACGATATCCTAACAGTATATTAATAATAGTTCCCTTTATACTGAAAACTGATTATAAAATGAATAAGAATTATTATCGTTTGGTTTTGTAAAACCAAAAATAAACTTTACAAGCTAATCAGCACACTGAATAACGAATTCTGTCTTAAAAAAAAAAAAGGCATAATTTTTAGGGTAAAATGTACCAGATGATATAGTTCAGTTCTTAGCACTGAAAAAAGAACTTAAAAAAGAATTTAAGTTCAACAAAGATTGATTGATCAGGGGAAAACAACCCAAACTAATAAGTAAGTTGCTCTTATTTACATATAACATTTATTAAGGGAAAAAGCAGCCTGAGGGACCAGGCCCATCTTAACCTGCCAGCGAAACCAGACATATGAAATACAATGGCATAGAAATAAAATTCTCTTCCGTAAAATGAAGTCTAGGGGTGCAAGTAAACTTAAATGCAAATACGAAGACCGTCAGACCAATCTTCTACATAAACACCTTCCAAAGTTCCATTTCAGAGACGAGTATGAGGGATTTAGGGGAGACAATCTTTGAATCAACATTTTACCATCAATTCCTTGCCTCACTGACTTCTGACAGTTTGGCAAATTGGAGGTCATCACGTTTAAAAGAAATGCTGCCAGCACTTGACAAATGCAATCTAGGAAGATAATATAAATTCCAAATGCCTGTGCGATTTTCTGTAGTTTCCAGAATTCTTCCTCAAAAAGTTATAGGATTTAAAAACCTAAGTCATTCTTTCAATGGTGTAATTTTAGCAAAAAGCATTATCTAAATTATGAGATAATTAAGGTAACACTAAAAGTCATATACCAAAAACTTGAGTCCTATGACATTTTGTTATCTTGGGTGATTCCCTGATTTTAAAATTCAAATTTGATTCCCTGATTTTAAAATTCAAATTTGATTCTTAAAAGAGAAAAAAAGAAAATGATGCATTTCCTGATTCAACAGAAATACTCAAATTCTAGATATGCTGCAATCTTTTATGTCAAACTTTATGTTAACAAACTTTAAAATATCAGTGCAGAACAGAACTAGAAAGACAGCAACATAAGCCTTCAAATATTATTAAAGAATGGTATGGACGCAACCAAATCAGATTAGAAAACTCAAATATCAGAAATTGACCTTTGTAGGGAAACCTAAAGAAATTTTCCATGTGGAATAACTTGTGTACATCAATTTCAAGGGTCTTTTTAAAAAGTGAATTAAAGTCAGGCGCGGTGGCTCAAGCCTGTAATCCCAGCACTGTGGGAGGCCTAGGTGAAAGGATTAAGCCCACAGGTTCAAGACCAGCCTGGGCAACATGGTGAGACCTTGTCTCTAGAATAAATCAGAAAATTAGCCAGGTGTGGTAGCACATGACAATAGTTCCAGATACTTGGAAGACTGAGATGGAAGGATCGCCTGAACCCAGGAGGTCAACACTGAGGTGGATGTGAGCATGTCACTGCACTCCAACCTGGGATATGGAGTGAGACTCCAACTCAAAAAAAAAAAGGTGAGCTAATTATTCTTGTCTAGATATGTGAGATTTTTCGGTATAATTTTACTAGGAGAAAACAATATTTGGTACTTTTCCACATGGCAACAACATGAACTAACAAATGGCAGGTGGGACAAGGGAGGGAGGAGGAAGATAGAAAATACAGAGTGAATCATAATGGGTAAAAAACAAAGTTTTTTTGTTTTAAGTAGGAGTAAGGAATTTGAAAATGTAATAACAGAATCAAATTATAGACACATAAAACAATTTTCTAACTTAAAAAATAAAAATGGAATGTTATTTTACTTGAAATGCACAGCATGCAAAATGTTCTGTAGTGGTAAAAAAAGGTGCACCAACGTAAATTCTCAAAATTTTCCAGTAAATGACATTTCTAGATTAAAAATGAGCATTACAAACCCTTTAATCACAGATTTATTTTTCGTTTCCAGCATGATACTTTGCTCTAATCCATAAGTTTCCGTTTCATAAGTTTTAAGAGACTGACCCCACAGGGGGTGACACTGAACCTGCACTCACCCAGCAGAGACTTCGGCACCACTCACACAGGTGATGCCCGAAAGTCTTAAAATGCAGATGAGTTGCTGTGACGGAAACAGTTGTAGTTTTTCACTCAATTTTCAACTACTGAATTGTATGGTTTTCGCCTTGATCTGACTTAGGATTGTTAGAAAGCTTTTTACTTACACAATATGTTATACTAAATGCCCATTTGTAACTGCAAGAAACTCACAGACACACTACAGACTATATTATACAGAATTGTGACCACAAGTTTCAGTGTAAGAGATTCACTTTCTCTCAAAGCAAGAAATATACCAGATTTACATAAGTAGTGCCTCCTTTTAAATAAATTAAAATAAAATGCTGTAAAATTATAAATATTTCTAGTCCATTTTACAGAATGTTAAAATGCTTATAAATGTATTATCACCCAGTAAATAAACAGTATGGCATTGAAGCTAGTTTAAAAAAAAAAGTATCACACTGGCCCATGGAAAACTCTAGTATTATATCTCCTAACATTAGAAACATTAAACCAAAGAAAAAAAAAAAGAGAAAAAAGAAATTTTAGAAAATGACGACTACTATGACCTAAAAAAGTGTACTGAAATGTCTTGATTCAATTTAGGAACTAAGTATTTCTGGAATGAACATTTGTGGATAACTACGTTAGGAGAGTGCTCCCCTTAGCACTCAGGTCAGAATCAAAAGGTATACAGAATTTCCACATTCTATAAGGAAAGACAGACCCTGAAATGGAGTGACTGCTTAAAAACCACATACCAAGATTTAGCCAGAATATTCAAGATTGGCAGATTTTGATGGAGTGAAGTCTTCAGTGGCAACAAAATTAAAAATCATAATCTTATGAATGCCACTTGTTTTTACCAATGTGAAGCAGGGAAACATGATTGCAAGGTACAATACATACTGACAGGCTGAAAATGAGAAATCACGAACAATTTAGATCACCAGACTGTTCCCCATGGAAGCATAAAAACGTGATTTTCAGAAGGATCCAACTTGTAATGTGTCTCTTAGACGTAAGAAGCAGTCTGAGTTGTTGACCTGCTGAACTGCTCTTTAAGTAAAGTATTTCCTCCATCTTAAAAAAAATAGCTTCTGAATGGCACGGATTCCTTCAGTGCGGGAGAGGAGGACACAGGCTTTGCAGAGTGGCTTAGTGAACTTGTTTCTGAGGTCGCACCACAGCAATTCATTCCATCAAACTTACAGTATCTCCAAATCTACATGGCGAACTTCAGGATTGCGTTTCTGGAAAGAAAAACCATCACCACATTATTTATAGCAAAATAAAAATCTTCTGTCTCTTTTTATCCCTTTTGATCAGTAGAGCCACTGAAAACATTTGGTAAACTAGTTCACTACAGCCTATTAGCAAGAGAAATGCTTGCCTAAGGAAAAAAAAAAAAAGATCAACAGGTAAAGAGGCCCACTGTAGACTACTGTAGCAAGTAGTCTCATGTCCCTAAGCGTGTTCATGTGTTCCTTAAAACAAAAATGCACCAAGTGTCTGGCATATGCCAAACACTGCAAAGCACTGGAGATATGCTTTTTTTTTTTGGTGGTGGTGAAAAGAAAATCATTCCCATTAATGATAATGTTTTTTTTGTTTTTTGGGTTTTTTGTGAGTTGTAGTCTCACTCTGTTGCCCAGACTGGAGTGCAGTGGCCACTCCCGGCCACCGCAGCCTCGACCTGCTGGGCTCCGGAGATCCTTCCGCCTCAGCCTTCC